GAGAAACTTTGAAGCGGCGTCGTCGCCGCGCCCTGCCTTCTTTGAGGCCGCCGAAGCCAAAGCAAAAACGAAAAGCAACCAAGTGAAGGGGAGAAAAACAGAGAGCGACGGCACTTCCTCCGCTGTGACTTTACTTCTTCCTCTGGACGCCCTTTGCCTGACTGCCTCGAAAGGTCCGCCCGTGGAGAAGGCGAAAAAGGAAAAGCAAAGAAAGAGAACACGCGCGCGTGGAGGGCGAGCCCCCGCAAAGGGCCGGCGGGGAGGCAGTTTCGTCGGCTCCGGCTTTCCCGCTGTGCCGGTTTTTCTCCAGTTCCAGGACGGGACCGCCTCAACGGCGCCTTTGCTCGCGCGGCGGCGGTCCCAGCGACGAGTCCGCCGAAGAGAGGCCCCCCGCTGCGCCTCCGCCGCCGCCGAAGATCCAAGAAAAAAAGAAAGCGAAGCCGCAAACAATAAACCACAAGCAAAGCCAGTAGATTCCCTCCCTTGTTTCCCGCTGCGCGTGCCCCCTGGCGGCGCCGTGGGGAAAATCTCGCCTCCGAGCCGGCGTGCGCCGGAACCTCGCCCCCGGCGCCTTCTTCGGCGCGCCGCCCCTTCCGGGGCCGGGCGAGAACGGGAGCCCGCCGCCAACAACCCCGGCGCACTACCGCAAAGAGCCGGCCACCGGCGCCGCGGCCGTCGCACAGGCGCGCGCGCGGCTTCTCCGCTTCTTCGACGCCGCCCGCGCGGCGCGCACAACAACGGCTCGAGTTCTGCGACGGTTGTGTGCCCCTGCAGGGGCCGGGCCGGGCGCCACCGGGAGCGAGGCCCGCCCCGCCCCGCCACGCCCGCACTCTCCCCCGCCCGGCCGCGAGGCGGAAACGCGGCGGCGAAGGAATCGGCCCCTCCCCCTCCTATGGGAGCGGTTGCGCGCCGCGCGTTCAAGGCAAAGCGCCGGCACGTAGGCGCGGCTCCAGGCGAAGGACGGCGCCCCAGCCACCCCCGCGCCGGGCGGCGGGGACGACGCGCGACGCGCCTTTGGGGCCGCACGGCGGGCAGCGAGGGCTCTCCACCGCAGGCTCTTCCCTCCCAGCCCTCGCTGGCTTC